ACAGCGCATTAATTCTAGTATTTTAGTGTTATTAGTTTTCCAAAATCTATATGAGTTGAACTCCAGTCCTTTCATTTTCAGCATTTACTATGCAGTTATATGCCATGGAGGGAAATTAACTTTACAATGCAGTAATGGTCCAATTCTGCCTATGTCTCGTCTCTACTAATTGCTATGCCAGTCAACGACGAGACATTTATGGTTCACCCCGGTCCAAGTTTCTCTCATTTTCACTTGTCTTTATCTCTCGTCTGTATTTCAGATATGGCTCAAATGAACCGGCGTCTTTGTCTGCTCTGTTTTTTACACTATTTCACAGGGACAACCTGTTCTGTTCCTCCTGGATTTAACAGACTGCTGAGCACAGGGTGTTTACCACATGCACGCACACTCACACAGACACACACATCTCCAGAGGATAAGATCTCAGAGAAGCCTATTTCACTGCAAATTAGGTTAATCACGCTCCAGAGAGGCCCAGTTAATAACTCTCATAGAGGCTATTAAGATGGCACCTAAATCACAGAAATATGTGAATATCTCATGGACCCTTCCACAGTATTGCCACGTTAAACCGTGGAGTTCTCGGTAGCCGACTGCTGGTCATGCACCCTGAGCCGTTCTAGACTGATGATGTTGTGCAAGAGCAAGGAGAAAACACCTCAGAGTGTAGGGCTGCTCGATTATGGCAAAAATCATAATCTCGATTATTTGGGTCAATATTAATTCACGATTATTAAAAACGATTATCCATTTACTTTGAAAACATCCATTTATTGAAAAAAAAAAAGTGAACAGTATGTTTTTAACAGTTGATTACCCTGAACTTTAAGTATAATTCAACTGAAAAACCAATACAAAACATTTAAAAATTGTTTAAAAATAAATAATCGTTTTATTTCGATGTTGTTTTCATAATCGTTGCAAGCCAAAATCGTAATTGCGATTAAAATACGATTAATTGAGCAGCCCTAGTGTAGAGTATAATATATCTGCTTCATTAAGGCAGAGACATAATTAGAGTTAGACTATTACTTCTTTTTAGCACGGATAAAACAGAATACTAATCACATAATAATCTGCAGGCATCAATACACATACATTCCGACACATTTTGAACCATACTTCCAATCACTTGACATATCTCCGTTACCCTATCTCCATTAATTGCAAGAATGTATTCAGGCCATGAAAACTAGACCTGTTCAGGAGAAGTCACTTGTACTTAACAATCCTGTCTTCGTAAGCAAGGGAAAACTGGCAAATGAAGCCCTCCTTAACCCTTAGATGCATAAGTGGGTCGTTTTGGACCCGGTGAGGTGGTTTTCTTGAAGTATCTTTGTAATTACATTTTTTTATCATTTCACATTCCAGCTATTCCTCAAAAAACATGTTTTGGATAGCATGCCATTCACATTTTTTATTTATATTTTAAGAAATTGTAGTTTTTGTATTACTACCCCAAGCTTCTATAAGTGGGTCAAAAATGACCTGCATGCATTTTCTATGGAATCCTATGGGAACCTTTGATTCTTATCACCTGTTGCTGTCAGGACTACATTCACTGGAGACCACACAGACACAAGGGACACCTCTCAGGAAGATTATTTTACACAGCAAGATCTGATACCTGTCAGTATAATAATAACAATAATAATACATTATATTTGTATAGGGCTTTTCAAGGACTCAAAATCGCTTTACAATATAAGGGAATGTTAGGGTGGGGGGTATAGGACTATCAACCTTGATCGACCGGCATGGATTGATGGGGGGTGGGCTATGATGAGTAGACAAGAGGAGCAGAGATGAGTTTTGAAAAGGGACTGGAATACTGTGAGGGTCTTTGCATCAATTGTGTTCAAAACTTTTTTTTTCAAAATGTAAAAAAAATGTCTAAAATTATAAATAGTGAAAGATTAAATATAAAATATCTCTAGTGTGAACCGAAATATAGTACTAAATATTATACAAGTGATTTTTCTTAACCAAAATGTTATTCTAATACGGGTCCTTTTTGACCCACTTATGGACGAGTGTAGGGTCCAGTCACTCGTGCAATGTGCATCTAAGGGTTAATAGCATGGTGTCTCCACTGGTAATATTTAGCAGATGCAGTGTACCGATAGCATCTCCCGTGCCTCAGCAGTACAAGAGCTCTCCATGGAAAACATAAAACTGTGTGCCATTCATGAAAGATTGAGCCCCGATATGCTGAGCCTGGGAGATACACTTCGTTTGGGAATGTTAAGGAACTAAATGGATCTCATTTCAGATATACATGAAACTTGACAAACCTATTGCTACGAGTGGAAAGTCACACGTTTAAGTGGCTTGTATTTAACAGGACATTGTTGGTGTGATGAATCTTCCTACTGCCACTTTTGTCTTCCCATTAGCATCCTGAGTAATAGTGGTGTGCTTTGTTAGTTAATGCTATAGGGAGAATTCAACTAAGTACACTATTCAAGCCACTGAACAAACCTCTTGCCGTTGCCAACGTGTCAGTGTTGTGTGTTTTAATTGGGATAAAGCACCTTGCCGATATGAGTACTCTAGATTTGTACTTAGTGTCTGATGCGCCAAAAGTTTTCAACAAGCAACTGTGCTTCGTCGTTACAAAGGTATTTCAAGTGCACACAAAACACGTGATTCAGTCAATAGAAGTAAAACTAATCAATTCAGATGTTCAATATTGATTCATGTAATTAATAAAGCAAAAGTGCAATACACTCAATAATTCCAGATTTACAAACTTCTAGATTTGCACCTTATTTCTGTTGCTTTAACTACATTTAAATAAGACATAAACTTAAAATAATGGGAAGTTATGGCATAGACATTTTTAACTAATAACTATACAATACATTTATTATTTGAACTTATTTGAACGACATAATTAAGTTAATATATGTAATGTCATTAATAGTCCACAACCTATGAAATATATTTAATATTTATATAATATGTTATGGCAAATGTATGAAAAATAAAATGAACACTTAATAACACTTAACTGTGATCCACAGCCCTACACTAGAGAAAAAACGTCATTATCAAAATCTAAAACGTAACTACAATTTGTTTTCAGTTATTAGTGTGAATGACACCATCATGCCATCACCATCAAGTCAATAAACGACAATATTACAACAAACCGATGTATTTAAGTCGTCTTCATGAGACCACATTACATGTACAACTACAGTGGCCGTCTAAAATGTTTGGTTTTAATCTAGCTTGGAATCTATCCATCCATCCATCCTTTCCTCTCTCTGGGTTTGCTAAAGTCAGAGCTGTTACATTTACTGAACGCCCACAGCTCGAGCTTCTGTAGGTGGTTTGTTCTCTGTTCCAACAGGTACAGAAGCGTTCTGTGCACATGCTCACTGCACATATATATACCAAAGAAAAGAAAATAATAATGTTCAACACAACTGGGAAGCAAGGCTTTATCCCAAACACTTAAGAAACAAATATGCCATCACTATAATAATAATAATACATGACAATCACACACAATACAAGCTTTTAGCCTGTAAGGACACACAATAATCTGGAGCAATGGGAATTACTACAAGAAGTCCACAATAGCAGTTCCTGTTCACCCCACATCCCACTTTGACATTCCACATCATGATAGCGAGCGACGGGGACATTTCTGAAACTGGAAATTGCTGTCTCTGTGCCTCGGACCGATTCCGTCTGGAGATATGGAACATTAATGCATTTCATTTCATCATCTTATGCAACTGCTCCGTATACGCCGTCTATTGCCATTAGCCTGCGAGGTCAGCCCTAAGACGTACAGTGTGTGTCATGCATAATAAAGGAAACGGCTGAAAATGGGCAGGAATTAGGAGCCACAGGTGGTGCAATCCCACCTCTTGCAGGTTAGGACTCATTTCACAGTGTGTCATTACTATTTTACGGCAAATGAAGGAGACCATGTTTAGCTTTTGTTAGCAGACGCCCCTAACTGAGCCAGTTAACTGGTCTCAATACTGCTTCAGTTTAGGGATATTTATTTATGTATCATAAAAAACAAAGAGTTTGTATTACGTCCTATGTCTTGTAAAGGGTTATAACAGGAAGAGAAGTATACAGGTAGGTAGCCAATTGTGATTACATGTTGTGTAAAGCTTACATCTCCATCCTTAAGCACAATACTTAAACTGACAACTTCCATATTTATAAGACTTCAAAGTCAAAATGTATCAGAAATATGTTTTATTTTTTTATTTTTAACAGCAAAGACATTAACAATAAAAAAAGATAATGCATTTGAATATCCTACAATTAGTAACTATTATATTCATCTGCCCGGAAAGCAGTGTGGGGTTCAGTGCCATGCTCAGGGGCACCTCAGCAGTATTGGTTTTATAGAACATAAACCCCAAGCCAAGTTCCTACAGACAGAGCTACTGCCTCCCCAAAATTAATGCATCTTTTCAACTACTAATTACCTCATTAATTGCGCGTTCCTGGGAGAGCGCGTGCATGTGTTTGTTCTCACAAGTGAGGAGGAGCTGCCAGACCTTACCTTGAGGCTGGCTGTGAATGTGCATGCGTGAGGACACGTGTGTTTTTGAGCGCGTCCGCGTTTGTCTGAGTGTATGCGTGTCGCTTTCGCCGTACTGTTGGCGACCCCTAGCGTGAAGGACGTGAAGTTTTAGATCATATTCTTGCTTTTAAACATCATAAAACATATGCACGTTCAGCCGTCGCCTTATAATTCTTTAGTGTCAACAACACAACGGAAACAAATCGGTGTATCTAAATAACTTTAGTGCAAGAGAACCTACGTTTGCATGTTTTGTACGGACCTTTTGATATAACCAATTCCAGCAGACTCTTATAACTTGCAGTGTGCGTAGATTGAAAACTGAGACAACATGTTGTCGAACACTGACTTAAAATGTGAAACATCACAAAACCCCGTGCACAGATTTCGTTTTCCCAAAATTGCACTGTAATTACTAATAACGTTAATTTCTTACCTGCGCCCAAGACTCCGTTTTATCCACATTTTTCTCGATTGCCGAATCCGACTCAGTCTTCCAGGTATCCTCCCATTTAGATGGGTTTCCTCCAAAGTCGACAATAGCTGATAAAACACTCAAGTGACGGACCGTACTCCGGCTGTCAGTAACGCAACCATTATTTTAAGCCATATCCTTCAACGTTGCGCACATGAAATTCCTCCAATAACGCTGCCAAATCCCACTCACATCGGCAGAACAATAAGTATTTTAAGTTGCTCGTCAATTGTTCTGTTGGCGATAGACAGCGAGGGGTTCACGCGGTCAGGTGAGCGGGAAACCGACAGAGGTACCCTCAAACTTTGCCTTCACGAAAATCTTTCATATCCCCTAGTTGGATGTAAAGATGTAAGGTGTGGAGAGGAAAAACAAGGCATGTAGTTGGCATCCTCGTTGCTGAAATGACAGCTTCTCCTACATTGTTGAAAACATCCAAAAAATTAGGGGGCGGAAGATGAGGATGCTCGCTTTTTGAAGGAGACGACAAGTCACCGCTGGTAGGGGGTCCTCATTATCTATTCACATCAATGGAGGGGGGGGGTGTTCAGCGTGCAGAGGGGTAAGACAAAGTTAAAAAAAATAATGAAAAAGAAGAATTAGGTGCAACTGAAAAAAGGACGAGGATAAACGCCGAAGAAGAATCCTGGAGGTTGAGAGTTGTTTCCGAGGAGTTCGAGAGAGGGGGGATGACAGTTTGTCAAGGGAGAGGAGAGGAGGCTGCTCCGTCTCCTGCTGCTCCTCTTCTCTTCAGACTGACGAACGACCTGCCCGTTGAGCTGCACGCTGCCGTGACGTCATTTTAAAGCCAGATATGTCATGTGCGCGAGTGCCTCACGTCACATGGGGTGGAGGGTCTCACTCATGAGTGTCAGATTAGGCATGACAAGGTGCAGAGCTGCCGGTACAGTATGGAGATATATTGATCGATGGCCTTATGAGTGCATTTTGCATAAGAAATGCTGGAAATACCTCAGCTGGTATTCAGTGCCTTTGTGTAATAATATATGATGTAACCTTTTTGTTTTAGACATTTCGAGGCTTCTCCTGACAATTTGGCCATGATCTGTGCTCTCCCATAAGGTCACATTTGAATTCACTTAACCTCAGTTAAGTAGAAAATGTCTTGAACACTTGAACGAAAACAGCTTAATTCTAATATAATTGCAAATAATAGTACTCGCAAGCAACGGGTGACAAACAAACAAGCATAAAAGGCATTTACAGTGTGTTGCCACTTTAAGGAGTAGCAGGAAATGTGCAGAGCAGGGGTCAATTAAAGTAACTGAACCAAGATAAATGAAAGCCGCACTGTTGGAGTGGATGTTTTTGTAAAGTATTTAAATTATGTTTAAACCTATGGCATAAGGTTTTATTTCCGGAAAAATTGCCAATCCAAGTGAAAATTGCTGCAGTGTATTACTTTCAGACCATTTATTTCCTATACTGCAGAAACAGTTGGGCCAGGGGGCGTGGCCAAACGTTGGAATCTGATTGAATCATTCTATGAAATAAATCCTGATTGTACCTTTTCTTCCCATAGCATTTAAATAAGTCAAACAATAGCATAGTGGTCACCTGTATGCCCATTCTGACAGCTGCAATGCAATTTGACATTTCCCTATTACATAACCGACATTAATCTGTCCTATAGTCATTTTCTATGGTATGCCTGGACTATTGTGTTGGTTACTTTTAATAATAATAGCCTGTGTGGGTGTGTGCAAAGTGCTGACTAATAATGTACAGGGTATGCTTTAGACTTGCGGCAGGATGTGTTCTAGTTGAGAACTGGCTGTTTTCGCTATTATTTCATCTGTTTATGAGCTGAAATATTGGGTCATCTTGTTTTTTTTTATATTTACATATTCATCATGCATGTACATGTTGGGTTGGGTTGTGTTCATGTATCTGTAGAATTGTAGCAAAAACAACAGAATGATTGGCAGAGTTACATAATACTATTGCTCGTCTGTGGTTTCAGGACCATGGACAGCGCTGTTGAAGAGCAGAGGGTCCCGAGAGGTTTCTCAATACTCAAATTTCCCCTCCTCGACTCCTCGGTTCCCCTCCTCAGTCCTCCGCTCGCATCTCCTGTGGGCGGCACCAAGTCTCGAGGATAGGAGTCGAGGAGGGGAAATGTGAGTATTGAGAAACCTCTCCGGTGTCTGGTGTTATCTGTCCGTAGTGCTTAAATGGAGCAGGCAGGATCTGACAACCCTTCACTAACTTCCTCAGACCAGCCAAAGATGATCTTTAACTAGGGGCTGTACCCATTTTATTGATAACCTTGGCAATCAAATTCTAAATCAACCTTTGAATGATGTATCACATGTGTTTATGTTATCATTGTTTTTAAATCTGCTATATCTGCACGGTTACAGATAAAGATAATATTACACAAAAATTATTAGTATTCGATTATTTGTAAAATTGAATTCAGTGGTGGCTGCGAAGGATTTATTTCCACTGGTGTGACCCAACATATCCAATAGCTACATTTTGCAGTGTCCAAAGGTTACAGATGTGTTCTTTGGCATTTGAATTAGTACATTTGTTGAATATTGCCTTGTTATTGTTCAAAATATGTTACTAGGATCATTTCAATTCAATTTGTCCTCATTTGTCAATTATTTTGAGAGTTAAAAGTAACTGTTTCAAGAAAGGATTGGTACAGAAAAGTGCATTATCTTTTAGTTTGGGATATTTATCATAACATCATTTTTGTATTAATAACATAGTGAAGAATCTCTTTACGTTGGCAGTAAATATACACATGTTATGTAACAAAGGTATTTACAAAGAGTTAGGTAACTCTGTGTCCCTAGTTTAAGAGTCTGAGCCTCAGAGTCTCGCCTGCCAAGGTCATTAGGATTCTTCTTCAGGAATACATCAACTTTTATACAAAATGTCATGGTTATCCAGATGTTCTCGTGTTTCAGTGGTGGACAGAATAGTGGAATTATTTTCTGAAAAACTGACTGTAACATATTTGAAAATGTTTGGAGTTTTACATTTTGCCTGCAGCCTGGAAGATGCATCAAATATCTTTACTTTACAGACATTCTAGTAACCCCCTATCCAAAAACATCCTGCCCTGAAACATTTTGTTAACATAACATTTACCATGGGCAGAGAAAATACTGTATAGTTCATACATATATAGATGGATGGATGTCGGAATACAGGAAGTGTCAGATGCCAGGTTCCATCGCATCACACTGAGCTTCCATTGTAGCAGTAACTCCTTAAACTGATGTTAACTCTGTTTTGCTGTAATATTAACCAACTGAAACCTGTAGTAAAAGGTGCTTTATAGTGTAGTGGGGGTCTTACATCTGCCATGTTTCCCCTATGACATGAATACAGCATTAAACTCTCATGCTGGAAGCTTTTTGCAGTCCCGAAGTACAAGATATCAGCGGTGGGCTGAATCCCATTACATTAGAATCAATGTGCTGATGTGACTGCACAGTGAGATGGGTGAACATATTACCCAGGACAAGATCAACTCTTGCGTGAGCAAAATAGAGAATGTGGCGGTCTTTCATCTCCACCTGGGGGTCAAAGTGTCAAACCAGTGAACACATCACACCTGTTTTAGCGTTTGAGTCTGCTCCAGCCTTTCCTGGAATAAAAACGGCGCTGCTGTATTGGACTTGTTATGTACACACATCTCTACCTATTTTGAACCTGAAGAAATAAGCCTTTTTTGCCTCAGGTGTGTCGGGATTTCTCCCCCACTGTGTGCAGGATTTCCTTGATCAGTCGTAATGAACACAGACGCTCTCCTCCCAATCAGATGAATTGCAGCTGTTTGTGAAATTGACTGCTCCGCTCACGACGAGGCAACTTTCCTCCCATACTAATTGTTGCCAAAGAGTACACTTCTGTCAAATACCCTCATTACTGCATTAGTGTGTATACATACATCCCGGCTGCTTGTATCCGTGGATACAAGCAGCCGAGATGGGTTTTCTCCGCAGGGTGGCTGGTGTCTCCCTTAGGGATAAGGTGAGAAGTTCGGTCATCAGGGAGGGACTCAGAGTTGAGCCGCTCCTCCTTCGCGTCGAAAGGAGCCAGTTGAGGTGGTTCGGGCACCTAGTTAGGATGCCACCTGGGCGCCTCCCTAGGGAGGTGTTCCAGGCACGTCCAGCTGGGAAGAGACCAAGGGGTAGACCTAGGACCAGGTGGAGGGATTATATCTCTTTCGCTGGCCTGGGAGCGCCTTGGGATCCCCAGTCCAGAGCTGGTTGATGTCGCCAGGGAAAAGAAAGTTGGGGCTCTCTGCTGGAACTGCTACACCCCCGCGACCCGACCACGGATAAGCGGGAGAAGATGGATGGATGGACATATATCCTGATCCAAGTGAAAACCTCTCCCCAGCAGATGGAAGCTGTCATTTCCTTCCCTCCGTATTCACACTCACTGATTTGCATGTTGTCTTCCCATGTCGCACGTTGGTGCGTGTACTCGTGCCCGTTTGTTTCTGTTGCCTCATGCAAGCAACATAAGTGTGAACAGGCTTATTTTGCCTCAGAGACACAGTCACAGGTTGTCATGCATGTCTAAGACTGTGGGTGGCTTCTGCTCACATGGACCTAAATGCAGCATACTAAACATCTGTTTTGTAAGCCATTAACACCCCGCCATGAGAGCGTGAATTAAAAGGAAGAGGGATTTGAGTATTGCTGTGTGTGTGCTAAGCTGGATTGAGTCATTCTGAGCAGCAGTGGATGGGCACAGTTTAAGTGTGCACGCTGCAGAGGGAGTTTATGGCCGTGGTCTTGCTGGGGTTACAGACGGTGAAAATAGGGGCTTTATGTGGTTCTCTCAGCAGTTCAGTGGGTTATTTCCTGTGCAGAGGATGTCATGAAACTATCCTCTAGGTGGTTCTTTAAAAGCCTTTTTTTACCTTAGGAAACAGTTATCAGTGGCAGGGTTCAGCTGTCGGAGGCTATGATGTTAAAGGAAACAGGTTGATAACGTTGAAATGTTTATAATAATAACTGGAATGAAAGCTTACTGTATATATAATATTTTTATATTAGGTATGTTTATTATTTATTTATTTGTTTGTTGTTTTATTTTAAAACTGGCATCACAGAAATTAACATATTGTGATTTATTTTTTAGCAAACAAATGTATTGTGTAAAGATCCGTTGCCAGGTTGATCATATTTTTCAGCAATATTATTGTACATGTAATTATCTCCATCAAGGGTGTTGCCTTTTTTGTCTGTTTGTCAGATTGATTACAGCCCTTAAACGGCTGACTGCCTCGTGAGTTAATCAGCTAGTCGCTAACGCTAATCTTTCTGTGCGTAGTGATGCGCAGGTTATTGGAAAGGAGGATGTTGACAGAGGAGTCTGGGAACCTCAAAATGCTTCCGTTAGGCAATATTATAAGGAATCATTCTGTACATTTTCATTGTTATGCGGATGATACTCAACTATATTTATCAATCAAGCCTGATGAAATGAATCATCTAAATAAAATTCAAGACTGCCTTAAGGACTTAAAAACGTGGATGACCTTACATTTTTTGATGTTAAACACGACCAAAACTGAAGTTATTGTACTTGGCCCGAAGAATCTACGAAACAAATTATCTAAAGATATACTAACTATGGATGGCATTAATTTGGCCTCCAGTGAGACTGTAAGGAATCTTGGTGTATATTTGATCAGGATTTATCCTTTAAACGCCCACATAAAATCAATTTCAAGGACCGCCTACTTC